AGAGAAGTGGATTAAGGACATCTTGCTCCGGGTTTGAAGTTTTTTTTTTTTTACAGCTTTTCAATTTAAATGTGTTCCTGAACACTGTTATCATTATATTTCATGAACAGCTTTTGTTTGCTGATTTCATTCCCCTGGAGCATGTTTTTCAGGATTTGAAGTTTTGGTGTCACGTACAAGAATCAACATTTAAATCTAGGGTTACATGAAAAAGCACCTGATGATTCTGTAGTTTCAACTTCATTTATTTCCAGACCTTATTCGTGTTTTTTTTAAAGTTTTGATTCTACCAACTACCAATTACTACCAACCTGCCTTCAATCAAGGACCTGTATACTGCATGAGTCAAAAAGAGGGCTATGCAAATATTTACAGACCCCTCACATCCCAGACATAAACTGTTTCAACTCCTACCCTCAAAACAACGCTATAGAACACTGCACACCAGAACAACTAGACACAAGGAGAGTTTTTCCCCGAACGCCATCACTCTGCTAAACAAATAATTCCCTCAACACTGTTCAACTATTACAAAGTCTGCACTACTAGTACTGTTAATCTTCTCATCACTCCTTATCACCCATCCCCTTCCACTTATGACTGTATGATTGTAACTTTGTTGCTTGTATCCTTACAATTTTTATTGACTGTTTCCTAGTATGATTTGATTGCTTATTGTACCCTATGACTATCATTAAGTGTTGTACTTTATGATTCTTGACGAATGTATCTTTTCTTTTATGTACACTGAGAGCATTTGCACCAAGACAAATTCCTTGTGTGTCCAAACACACTTGGCCAATAAAGAATTCTATTCCATTCCATTCCATTCTATTCCAAGGATGTTGGTTTTTTTGTGTGTGTTTTTAGTTTTAAAACTCACAGGTTTAGTTCTCAAGCTGCCTCTTCGTTTTCCCCATCAACATCTTCCCATTTCATCCTAAAGTCATTCTCTTTTTCCTCCTCTTTTCCCCTTCTTCATGTCCTCTCTGCCTTCCTCCTTTTCTCACCGGCATCTTCTATGTCTGCTTCTCTCTCTCCATCTTCCTTGTCTTTCTTCTTCATCCTCCTCTCTTTTCCCCTCATTCTCTGTTCTCCATCATCTGCTTCCTGCTATTCTTTCTCTTTCTGGTCTCTTTTCTTCCCTCTCTATATGCCACCTTCTGTTCAGCTTCTCTCTTTCATCTTTATCCAATTCTCCTTCCCTATTCATTGCTCTTTAGCCAAACCACAAGTCTAGTCCATCTTAGATTTATTTCTATTGCTGAAGCAACATTCAAATCTCTGTAAAAATGGTCAGACAGAGCTTTATATTAAGCTAGCCAGGATAGGTACCCTGCGGGAAGCCAAATACTTGCTTGAGGCCAACATCAAACCCAGTTCTGAATGGAACCTCATTCTATGTCCCCTTCTATGTTTTAATTAACTTTAATTTCCCAAGGATCGGGGATTTCTCATTTGTTTATGTTCCTCTGAAAACACAGACAAGGGATGTACACAAGTTATGTGAAGAATGGATTCAGCAACTTGCTTAAGCCAACACCTTTTGGGTTTACGCAGGACTGGGACAGAAGAAACTCCATTTTGCAACACAAGTGATGTTCTGTTGAGTTATCCAAGATCAAGCCAGCTTCAGCTCTTTTCTAACAATCAGTGACAAGAGTTTCCAAGGAGCCTCTAACAGAGTGGCATTTCATTTCCTTCTGGCAGGTATCATTCAATCAACAGCCATCTGCTCAAATAGGTCCTTGAAGTCCATTTCACTGCTTCCCAGAATGACTGATAAAAGGTCTCCAAGAAGCCTCAATAGCCTGTCCTACTAGAGTTGCTAGAAAGCGGTGTTTAGAGGCAGATTAATAAACAGGGAGCAAATGTATGATAAAACCCCTTTCCAGTTTTGGAAAAACAGCACCAAGTCATTTCCGTGAAAAATATTTGAGGTTTATTTTGCTCTGTGTTTTAGCTTAGAACAAAGGTGTCAAACTGAAGGCCCGGGGGCCAGATGTGGCCCTCGGGGTGTTTAGATCTGGCCTGCAGGGCCACCTTGGAAAAAACAAAGGATCGGTCCACAGTGCTTCTGCCAGTGAAAACGGAGCTCTAACCTGCATGCGTTCCTCCCAGGGGTAGGATTTGCATCTATTCGCTAGAACCGGTCGTTAACATTCTAAGCAGTTCGGAGAACCGGTTGTAAGAAGAAATTACTGGCCTAATCCTGTAAGGAAGGCAGGAAGGAAACATTCTGGTGTTGCTTACAGAAACTGCCTCTCCGTTAACCCTTGTTACATTCTTGGCAGGACTAGACTTCCTGTCTCAGGAACCTCTCTGGAGTTTTTTTCCCCTCCTTTGCTGGTACTTTGCTTGTGTGGAGTGACCATTCAAAGTTACAATGGCACTGAAAAAAGTGACATGACCATTTTTCACACTTACGACTGTTGCAGCATTCCCACAGTAATGAGAAGCCAAACGAAAAGATGCATGCCTCGATGTGAGAGATGTTGAGTTGGCCACACCCAGCCAGTCACATGACCACCAAACCATGCCCACAGAACTGGTTGTTAAAAAATTTGAATCCCACCCCATGTCCCTCCTGAACTCCATTTTCACCGGCAGAGGGTTGCAGGAGGCTGTTGCAGCCGAAAACAGAGCTCGGGAGCCTGTTTTTGCTGGCAGAGCTCTCAGGCCACAACAGGCGCCCCCCCCCCCGGCCCCCGGGGTGTCCTGCTGGCCACCCCCCCCCCCCCCCCCCCCCCCCAGGTCAAACACATCCCTGATGCGGCCCTCAATGAAATTGAGTTTGACACCCCTGGCTTAGAACGTGCAAATTCCAATAGGACTAGTCATCCTCAATTTACGACCGGTTATGACGGACCTCCCTGGGGATAGCTACAAGCCAGTTCCGAAGGTCTAAGGGCCACCATCTCCACAGTCACATAACTGGATGTTGGGTGTTCAGCAAACAGCCCACATTGATGGCCGTTGACAGCATCCCACAATCACGTGTGACCAAAAACCAGCATCAACTTCTGCTTTTCAGCAAAAAAAAACCATTGGCTTGCTTAACGACCGCAGCCATTCACTTAACAACCGCCACAAAAAGGTCATAAAATTGGAGCAGTCACCCAGGTGACTTGATTTATGACCATCATGACGGGCATGATGGGCGGGCTCCATTATGCTCATAATTTGAGGACTAACTGTAGGGCTAAAGAGAGAAACCAAAAGAGGCAACTGGGTTTTAAAAGCTGTAGGCAGGTGCTACATTTGCATCCCCGAAATCTTCAACGCGTGCCTTTTGGATGGAAGCCCAAATACTCCACAACCCTAATAATTAAATCAACAATATTTAATGAATTTAATGGAAATGAAACTCAGTTAATTCACTGGGTGTTTGTTTTTTTTCTCCTCCTAGCTCCGCTCACTTTTTAATCTCTGCCTTACCTACCTTTTAGCAGACAGCCTGTGGCCTCCTTACCTGGGGAATTAGCTTTGCATGTTTTATGCATTTTCTGCCTAAATTCCATCCATTGGAGTTTGGGGGATACAAAGTCAGAGATCCGGAAGACATTCCAAACTCAAAATATTTCAAGCTTGAAATGCCCCATTTCACAGTCAAAAGAATGATTGAGAATTTAAAATACGGGTTTCAATTGTGCTGGAGGTGAACTGATACTGTTCCAACCGTGCCAGAAAAGTCCTGAACGTATAAATGAACCATTCTGAGCCTTCTGGTTGTTCTCCAAAGAGTACAGCTAGTTTTCCATTCATTTAATGACCGTTCAAATTTACGATGGCACTGAAAAAAGTGACTTATGATCACTTTTCACACTTACGAATGATGCAGTGTCCCTGGAATCACACGATCAACATTCAGATACTTAGTAACTGATTTATGATGGTTGCAGTGTCCTGTGATCTTCTGACAAGCAAAGTCAGTTTCACTGAACAACTAACTTATCTAACTAACTTGTTACTAGCTTATCAACTGCAGCAGAGGTGGGTATTCAGCAGGTTCTGACCAGTTCTGGAGAACCGGTGGCGGACATTTTGAGTAGTTTGGAGAACTGGCAAATCCCACCTCTGACTGGCCCCGCCCCCATCTATTCTCCGCCTCCCGAATCCCAGCTGATTGGCTGGGTCTTCTTTGGTTGCCCTGCACAGGAGAACGGAGCTGGAAAGCAGGTTAGTGGGGTGGGGAGGAAATGGGGATTTTGCAGCATCCTTCCCCTGCCACACCCATCAAGCCACGCCCATAGAACCGGTAGTAAAAAAAAATTGAATCCCACCACCGAACTGCAGGGATTCACCTTCTGACAAGCAAAGTCGAGGGAGAAGCCAGGTTCACTTAACAACCTTATTCCTAACTTAGCACCTGCAGTGATTCACTTAATAACCGTGGCAAGAAAATGGGGCAAAACTCACTTAACGGTCTTACTTCATCATCATCTTTTAACAACCCCATAATCCCTTGTGGGGTGGAGTCTGGGCAACTGAATGGAGCTAGCAGAGTGTTTACTGGCCGGATGCCCTTCCTGTTGCCAGTGCGGAGTTTTGTTCAGCAGATATAGTCTCATTGTGCCCAGAGAGAGAAATATCTGCTTCTGGAAACGGAGAAGCCAGATGCACTTAACAACCCTCTTGCTAACTTCACAAATGCAGTGATTCACTTAACAACCGGGGCAAGAAAGGCCGTAAACGGAAGCAAAACTCACTTCACCATTGTCTCGCTTAGGAACAGAAAAATTTGGGGCTCGGTTGTGATCATAAGTTGAGGATCACCTGTAGTGGAACGTCTCCAGGAGGTCAGAACCCGTTTTTAATCCCGAACAGGGAATTCCAAGTGAGAAAAGTTTTCGGCTCTATTACACAACCCACACAGGTTCCAAATCCATTGTTGCACCAAGCACAACATTCTCTCTGTTTTTTCCCCTCCCAAAACAACCACGCATTTTGCCCCTGGAAAGAGTTCAGTAAATCCAGTATATATTCTGCTCATAACTTGCCTTGGAGTTCTCTGGAGTAGCAGTAGACATCGTATGCTTCGCTGTCATCTCTCTTGCCATAGCTGCGGACTCCTGGGAGGCTGTTGCGATCTCCATAGCAACCAGGTCTTGACAGGGTGATGGGATACCTGAATGAAGAAAAGGGGAGGGGAGGGGAATTAAGCGGGGGGGGGAGGGGAAAGGATGCAGCTGCTTTAAACTCCATCCCTGAATGCTTCTTTCAGCCAGGAAGGAAAGTAATACGGTAAAGACTTCAGGAAAAGCATGGGAGGGTTTCAGGGACAAAGGTGTGAATCCTTGAGATCCTGGAAAGAGTGCAGAGAAGATGGCTGGGGGTTAAAACAATAGAAGAATGGTTGCAGGGATTGGGTAGGTCTGCTAGTCTAGTGAAAAGAAAATCTAGGCGGTGATGGGATAGCAGTGTTCCAACATTTCAGGGGCTGCCACAAAGATGAGTGGGTCAAACTATTTTCCAAATTACCTGAAGGCAAGACAAGATGGAATGGATGGAAACTAATCAAGGACAGGAACAACCTAGAATTAAGCAGAGATTTCCTGACAGTGAGAACAATCAACCAGTGGAATGGCCTTCAGAAGTTATGGCTGCCCCAACACCGTAAGCTTTCAAGACGAAACTGGACAGCCATTTGTCTGAAATGATACAGGATCTCCTGCTTGAGGAGGGTGAACTACATGACCTCCAAGGTTCCTTCCATTTCTATTCTATTCTATTCTATTCTATTCTATTCTATTCTATTCTATTCTATTCTATTCTATTCTATTCTATTCTATTCTAGTCTAGTCTAGTCTAGTCTAGTCTAGTCTATCCTACTCTACTCTATTCTTATTCCATTCCATTCCATTCCATTCCATTCTATTCTATTCTATTCTATTCTATTCTATTCTATTCTATTCTATTCTATTCTATTCTATCCTACTCTACTCTATTCTTATTCCATTCCATTCTATTCTATTCTATCCTACTCTACTCTATTCATATTCCATTCCATTCTATTCTATTCTATCCTACTCTACTCTACTCTACTCTACTCTACTCTATTCTTTTTCCATGCCATCCCATTCTATTCTATTCTATCCTACTCTACTCTATTCTTATTCCATTCCATTCCATTCCATTCTATTCTATCCTACTCTACTCTATTCTTATTCCATTCCATTTCATTCTATTCTATTCTATTCTATTCTATCCTATTCTATTCTATTCTATCCTACTCTACTCTATTCATATTCCATTCCATTCCATTCCATTCCATTCTATTCTATTCTATCCTACTCTACTCTATTCTTATTCCATTCCATTCCATTCCATTCCATTCTACTCTACTCTATTCTTATTCCATTCCATTCCATTCTATTCCATCCTACTCTATTCTATTCTTATTCCATTCCATTCCATTCCATTCCATTCTATTGTATTCTATTCTATCCTACTCTACTCTATTCTTATTCCATTCCATTCCATTCTATTCTATTCTATCCTACTCTATTCTTATTCTATTCTTATTCTATTCTTATTCTATTCTTATTCTATTCTATTCTATTCTATTCTATTCTATTCTATTCTATTCTTATTCTGTTCCGTTCCGTTCCGTTCCGTTCCGTTCCGTTCCGTTCCATTCCATTCCATTCCATTCCATTCCATTCCATTCTATTCTATTCTATTCTATTCTATTCTATTCTATTCTATTCTATTCTATTCTTATTCCATTCCATTCCATTCTATTCTACCCTACCCTACTTTACTCTACTCTACTCTATTCTATCCTTTTATTTACTGGAGCATTCATTGTTTCTGCATATAAAAGAACCAACTGGGCACCTGAACACTGGCTTTTTATCCTAATCTTGCTGTATTAAAGAACAAAAATCAAGGCACGGCTGTTCTGTGTCTCCACCCCCTCCCCCACTTCCTCCTTTTCCAGGGCTGAATAATAATTTTCCTTCTCCCATCTTTGTCTCAAGAGCAGGCCTGAATTCTTTTGCAAAAGGAACCCCATCGCAAACTGCCCTTCTCACCTTCAACATGCCTTGTCATGAATTGTCAAGTGTCTTTCTACTAATCTGCATCTTCAAAATGGCAACCCCCGAACTGGTCTCTTGCAGTGAGCAACGAGCTATTTTCCCCCGGTTCAGTTCTTTTATTGCTCTTTTGTGTCGTTCTGCTCAATTCACTCCTCTTCCCTAATTCCAATTTAACTAGGAGAATTTATAAAATTAATTCCAGTATTGGGTGTTCTGTATGGCCTTCTTTTTTGCCGCTTAGTTACTCCTATTCAGGAGCAACTTCCAGGGATTCTGTATCTCCATTACTGATGATTGCATACACGTTGATAAAATAATACAGGATACTAGGGGGAGAGAGGAGAAGCGAAGTCTCTGTGTTTGTGTAGACAATTGCAACAAGGTTTTTTTGTGTGTGTGCAGCGAATGTCGCTGCACAAGGGGAAAGGAGCGCATCAAAAGAACTGATGATCCAACTGATATATCTGAAGGATGTAGACCAGGAGTGTCAAATTCAATTTCACTGAGGGCTGCATGAGGGTTTGTGTTTGACCTCAGAGGGTCAGGGTGGGTGTGACCAGGATGGGCGTGGCCAGCTCACTTGTGTCGGGGCACCTGTGGTGGCCCAAGCACTCTGCCAGTGAAAACAGGCTCCCGGGCTCCGTTTTCGGCTCCAACAGACTCCTGTAACCCTCTGCCAGTGAAAACAGAGCCTGGGATGGCTGCTCATGGCCCTTGTGAGCTCCGTTTTTGGTGGAAGAGGCACTGTGGGCTGTCCTTCGCTGTTTCCAGGGCGGCCCTCAGATCCGACCTCCAGGCCTTGAGTTGACACCCCTGATGTAGACGGTAGAATAACAGGTAGTTCTTGACTTTCGACTTAGTTACCACTCAAAGTTCTGACAGACCTCCCTGGGGAGGCACTTCCAACCCAGTTCTAAAGTTCCAATGTGCGCCTCCCCCCCCGAATCACATGGTTGCATTTCTGGTGCTCAAAAACCAGCCTGTATTTACAGCCGTTTGTAGTGTCACATCCTTGCTGAAAATTGGCATTGGCATTTACTTCCAATTTTCAGCAAGACTGACCCATAATAAATAATTGGTTCCCTTAAAAACTGTGGTGTTCCCTTAAAAACCACCAGAAAAAAAGATCATAAATTTCAGGTTGGTCTCAATGATGTTCCTTTTTACCACTGTTACAACCGAAATGACAGGCTCCATTATGGTCGTAAGTGGAGGTTTACCTGTAGGCTTATGTCCTATTAATTTTGACTGCAGTTATATTTTGCTGCAATAAAATAATCAAAATGCACCTGAGCACACCTTTGCCGGTGTAACATTTGGAGATTCACAAAATTTGCTGTACAGAGAGACACGGCAGGTGTCTCCTCTTTTTTTCTTGAAAGGAAAAAAATAATCAAAAGGAAAGCGTATTTCACGTGGTGCTAATTCAGAGCAGAAAATTGGATCAGCCCCTCCTCAATCAAGCTAGTTAGAATGTACATTTTTTCCCAAGGGAGTGCTTCAAAAATTTTAGCAACCGGTTCTCTATCTGGTTGCTGGGTGGGCGTGGCCAAGGCCTAGTCAACCTCCTGCACTGGTGGGGGGGAATTTTTGCCCTCCCGGAGCTCTGGAGACATTCCTCAAGTCTCCGGGAGGGTAAAAACGGCCTCCCCAAGCTCCGGAGGCCCTCTGGAGGCCGGAAACGGGCCCATTTCCAGCCTTCTCAAACTTCCTGGAGGCCTGTTTTCGCCCTCCTCGAGCCTCCACACAGGCCCTGCACTTACCTGGGATCCAAAACGGGCCACGTGGGGGACACCTGGGAGGGTCGAGGCCAGTCAGTCATGGGAACTACTGGTTCGGCAAACCAGATGTAAAATTAACATCCGGTTCGCTTGAACTGGTGCGAACCGGTAGTAGCCCACCCCCCTGATTCTTCCACATACCTAACAGTGTGGTCGGAGAGCCATCCGGCATCACAGTTGTCATAGCCATCCTCAAAGGCCACCTCCAGATGAGCAGGAGATGCAACGACAGCCGAGTTCTCTTCGCAGGCCTTCTGCGCCTCTGGGAAAGTCAAAGCGTAGCGGTTGCTAGCCGCTCGGTAGTGAAAAACCACACCTAGGCAGGGTTGAAAAGTGAGAGGACAAGGGGAGGTGAATTAGAATAGACAAGAGCCAGAAGGGACCTTTCAGACTCTGCCTCAACATCAAGAAAACGGAGTACTTAGAGACGTTTACCACCCCTGGAACGCTTCAAATCAGTGGAGAAAACCTAAAGAAGGTGGACACTGTTCAGTATCTGGGATCCCACCCAGTGGTGGGATTCAAATGTTTTTACTACCAGTTCTGTGGGCGTGGCTTGGTAGGATTAGCAGGGGAAGGATACTGTAAAATCTCCAGTCAGAGGTGGGTTTTGCCGGTTCTCCGACCTACTCAAAATGTCCGCCACCGGTTCTCCAGAACTGGTCAGAAGCTGCTGAATACCACCTCTGACTGAATCCCACCTCCAAGGCAATGGCGACATCGATGGTGATGTGCGAGCAAGGGTGAATGCAGCCAGGATACATTGGCGAGAACTCACCACTGGGTTATGTGATCAGACGAATGCCCACCTGTCTTAAATTTAAGATTTACGAGACAACCATCCACCCTGTTGCACTGTATGGCACTGAACGCTGGGCAGCAACAACAGGGACTGAAAGTTATTTCCATGCCATGGAAATGCGAATGTTCCGTTGGATATCGGGCATCTCCCTTCTTGACCACCTCACAAATGACACCATGCGACAACATTTTGGCGTGGCACCCAATTATACAGAAGATGAGAGAAGGTCGACTTTGCTGGGACGGACCTGTCCGGAGAGCAGTACCTTCCGTTGTGGCCAAGACTGCCTACCAACTAGAAGTCATGGATGGAAGGGACCTTGGAGGTCTTCTAGTCCAGCCCCCTCCACAAGCAGGAGAACCTATACCGTTTCCGACAAATGGCTGTTCATTCTCTTCTTAAAAACCTCCAGTGATGGTGCACCTGCAACTTCTGAAGGCAAGCTGTTCCACTGGTTAATTATCCTCACTGCTAGGAAGCTTCGTCTTAATTCCAGGTTGTTTCTTTCGTTGATTAGTTTCCAACCACGGTTTATTTTTCCTGCCTTCCGGTTCTTTGGAGAATAATTTGACCCCCTCTTCTTTGTGGATAGAACCATATAGAAGGCTGTTAACAGGTAGGACCAGATTGGTAGGGTGCTTAAAGCACCAGACAAGAAACTGGGAGACTGGGACAGTGGTGGGAATTTTTTTTACTACTGGTTCTGTGGGCGTGGCTTGGTGGGCATGGCAGGGGAAGGATACTGTAAAGTCTCCATTCCCTCCCCACACCCAGGGGAAGGTTACTGCAAAATCCCCATTCCCTCCCCCACCCCACTAACCTGCTTTCCAGCTCCGTTCTCCTGTGCAGGGCAACCAAAGAAGACCCAGCCAATCAGCTGGGACTCAGGAGGCAGAGAATAGATGGGGGCGGGGCCAGTCAGAGGTGGGATTGGCCGGTTCTCCAAACTACTCAAAATTTCCGCTTCCGGTCAGAACCTGCTGGATACCACCTCTGGACTGAGGGTTCTACCCTAGACTTGGAAACAACACCTGCTTGGTGAATTTAGGCCCATGACTCTCAGCTCAGCTTGCCAAGAAAAATGCAGGGACTTTCCAGGCAGTTGCCAAGAGTAAAAAAAAGAAAGACTTTATAGCGGAAAAAACACCCCCAAACATATAGAGCAGCACTTAATCAATCTTGGCTGACAAAAGCAGATAGAAGGTGTCTAACTGTTCTTGGCTGATCTCTAAAGCTAAGCAGAGTCAACTGTAGTTAGTTCTTGGATGGGAGAGCATCTGGCTGAATGGGAAATTAAATGCTTGGAAAAAAAGGCTAGGTCAAACCACTTCTGTGCTGCAATGTTGCTAAGATATTTGCAAAGGAGGCAATTGAACCAAGGGCATCTCCCTTTCCTTTTAATAAAAATATTGTGAAATACAACCTTTGATGACGGCTGTCTGAATTCTTTCCGAAGGAGCTCTTGCACACTGATTGAGCGCAGCACAACCTTCTCCTTCCTTTTTTTTTTTTTTTTTTTGGTGTCATGTCTCTTACTTAGAAAGCTCTGTGACAGAGGTTGTCAAATTATTGAATTTCACAAACCACCAGGAAGTCCTTTAATCAGCATACAAGTGAGGCTCAAAGTCTACATGCAATCACAACCAGATTGGGGGGTCTTTTTGTAGTCTTTCATCAGCGCACACCCACACACACCCCTTTGATATAAAGGCAGGGGAGGAATACGATTAAACCAATAGGAACCAAAGCTAAGGCTGAATTGTTTCTCACGATGCCCTGTATCAAATTCAGGGTGGGGGCGGGGGGAGAAGAAGACAGTAAATGACTAAACTACCTGGGCCTGCCAACTCCGTAAATGTGTGCGGAAGGAACCGCAATTAAATCAGGAAGGGTCTGGTAGCATCTTTCAAGAGCCAGAAACACTTCTCAAAGACAAAAGGCCCTTCGGATGAAATGAGCTGTGGCATTCGAAAGCGTCTGACTTTTGAAAAAAAAACAACGTTTAGTTCAGGGGTGTCAAACTCGATTTCATGGACGGCTGCATCAGGGTTGTGTTTGACCTTGGGGGGGACTGGGGGGAGCATGGCCAGCTCAATGTCACTCGTGTTGGAGGCTCCTGTGGTGGCCCGAGTGCTTTGCCAACGAAAACAGGCTCCCGAGCTCCGTTTTTGGCTGTGACGGCCTCCTGAAATCCTTTGCCAGTGAAAATGCAGCTCAGGAGGGCTGATTGCGGAGCTCGGGAGGGCTACCCGCGGCCTTCTTGAGCTCCGTTTTCGCTGGTAGAGGCACTGAGGGCCAATCCTTTGCAGTTTCCAGGGAAGCACCATGGGCCAGATCTAAGCACCCTGCGGGCAGCAGTAGGATTCAATTTTTTTTACTACCGGTTCTATGGGCATGGCTGGGTGGGCGTGGCTTGGCTTGGTGGGTGTGCTTGGCAGGTGTGGCAGGGGAAGGATACTGCAAAATCTCCATTCCCTCCCCACCCCTCTTGTTGTAATGACGAGGCAGTCGAGTTGTTTGATCATGAACAACTGAATCATGATGATCTTTATTGGAGTCTAGTCTTGCATTTATACACATTTTTAGTTATCCTCCAACATTGGTTAACCTTGGTTACTGCTTAACTTTGGTTACTGTTTAGCACAGTAATTAATACAATTAATTATCTCTAGTTAAAGTCTAACATATGTTTACTTCCTCTCTCTAATCCTCCTTTAGATTAGTGACTTTGTTTACCTGAGTTGTATTTGCTTGGAAACATTCTTTATCTGAGGTTTGCCATCCGAGATTGGAACATTCCTGCAATTACAACTCTACACCCTCTAACCTGCTTTTCAGCCCCGTTCTCCTGTGCAGGGCAACCAAAGAAGACCCAGCCAACCAGCTGGGACTGGGGAGGCAGAGAATAGATGGGGGCGGGGCCAGTCAGAGGTGAGATTTGCCGGTTCTCCGAACTACTCAAAATTTCTGCTACCGGTTCTCCAGTACTGGTCCGAACCTGCTGAATACCCATCTCTGCCTGCAGGCTGAATCTGGCCCCCGGTGCCTTGAGTTTGACACTCCTGATTTAGTTGAAAAAGTGCTCCCCAGATTCTTTCATACCAGCAGTCCTTGACTTACAACCATTCGTTTAGCAATTGTTCAAAGTTTCAACGACATTGAAAAAAAGCGACCTACAATCGTTTTTCACATGATTGTTGCACCATCCCCATAATCGCATGATTAAAATTCAGGTGCTCATATTTATGATGGTTGTGGTGTCCCCGGATCACACGATCCCCTTTTGCGACCTTCTGACAAGCCAATTCGATGGGGAAAGCCAGATTCACTTAACAATCGGGTGACTAATTTAACAACTGCAGTGATTCACTTAACAACTGTGGCAAGAAAGGTCATAAAATGGAGCAAAACTCACTTAACAAATGTCTGGCTTAGCAACGTCATTTTCGGGCTCGGTTGTGGTCGTAAATCGAGGACTACCTGAATACGGCACTAATGCAATGCTTCCCAATTTTTCCCCCTTTTATTATCCAAAATCGCTTATCGGAAAGTTTTAAACTTCAAGGACCGACTGCAAGGCCTTTCCTTCAACACTGCTGTAGCTTTGATTGGTTGCTGAATGAATGGTCGTAAGTAACTTGAGAACTACTTGTATTATAAAAATATTATCACTGAATGATCTTTTATGTCATTTCAACAAATTATCATTGGTAATTTCATTGATTTGCATCTTCGTGGGAATCCTTTGGGGGATTTTTGAATGTATTTTATTACAGGTGGCAAAATAAAATCAGTTTAAATCAATTAAAAACACCTGTTTTGTTTGGGTAATGGGTTCTGGTGTCATTATCCAAAGAAAAAACAATTTTCCCCAATTTTCAGTAATTTACTCAGGCATGGGAAGCAATGCATAATAGCATCTTGTCACACAATCTTTGGTGATTATTTTATAGTTTTGATCAGAAGCATTTTTGCCTCCCTTCCACCAGTCACCAAATATTTCTCATCTCTTTCTGCGACATAAAGCAGAGCCCTGAAATTGTCTTCCTCCCGCCCCCTTACTCTCGCCTCACAATCAGGAGGCTGTGAGTTCGATCCTAGGTAGAGGCAGATATGTCTCTCGCTGGGCACACTGAGAATATATCTGCTGAAGAAAACTCCACACTAGCAACAGGAAGGGCATCCGGCCATTAAAACACTCTGCTCGCTCCATTCAGTTGCCAAGACTCCACCCCGCAAGGGATTATGGGGTTGTTAAATGACGATGAGTATGATATAATGTAATGTTATGGGATCGTTAAGATAGATAGATAGATAGATAGATAGATAGATAGATAGATAGATAGA